CCTATTCCTTTCTAACCATAAAGTATTAAGACCCAATGTCAATCAAGATAGCATGAATAATCATGCGAATTCACGAAAACAAATTCTCGTTTGCTTGTTCACGTAATCAATCTCAAAAAATTCGATTGATTTAGGATTGTGGAGATCATTATCGACATCGAAATCCCTCGGAGGTTTCCAATAAAATAAGACTGAATTGAACAATTTTCAAAGCAACAACATTTTTCTTCGTCACTCAAGTAACTTCTAGGGAGAAAGTGAAGAATAATACTTATCTGAATGGTAAATCCCTTCGAGAAATTTAGTATCCATAGATAAATGTGAATATCGGCAAAGGACACCTCGAATGATGCTGAATTCTTATTTGAAATTCTCTTGCCAAGCCTCTCGAACTCCTATTGGTTACGTCATTTTCTTTCCAAATCGGAGGCCTCAGATCCATGGTGCCATTGTTATGTGTTTATTGAGTCAAACCTCTCACATTCTAATGGGTGTTACAATTAGTTTTAACAGGTTTGAATGCAAAAATATTTGACAATTGTCTTCACCACCATTGACAAAGTTATTTTCGATTATAAAAGTCACGGTTGACTCAATGCAATGGGCAAAAATGTGTTTGGAGAAAAGCAACTTTTATGTTGCCACAACTGAAGCACATACAGTGGTGGTAGTCGTTAGATCAAACAAGAAAAATCGCGATCATTGATGAGATGATATGAAAAGCCATACCTCTAATATATTGGGATCAAGAAATAGAACCTCTCTCTCTCTCTCTCTCTCTCTCTCTCTCTCACACACACACACACACACACATCTTCTTGCAGCCAAAGCCGAATTTCTCTGTTAATTTTTAATAAATATGTATGATTGATTTGAGTTGTAACATTGAGAGATGATTGGGTAAGTGTGGTGCTTGAACTAAGTGGTTCGATTAAGATTATATTCCAGTAGAGAACAACATATGAGATTTGTTGTGTTCAAAAGGTTGTAGGGTCATACATTGGCTTACCAGCCTTGTAACCCTCAATTCATTTGATAGTAGTGCTCCAACAGGACGTAGCCAAGAAATGGATGAACTTCAGGCTCCAACTCATTGGGGCGAACGTATCCGTGCATCGTGCTCCAGATTTTGCTTCATTATTTTTTCTTACTTTGTTTTGGTTTCTTGGTAATTAGTTGTTGCAATTTAGAAAAATTTAATTAAATGAATAATCACTAACAGAAGTGTATCCGTGATCACCGACAATATCACTATTAATTATCCGTCTAAATCATCGACAGAGATTAATTTCCATCATATTCACAGTTGGTTATTCACCGATAATTTTTACATCTGTGTTGTTCATTATTTATTTGTTTCTATCATCTTTCAACCAAAAAATGTCATGTATAAATTTCGTAAATCAAATTCTGCAAGTGTAGCAAGATTCTTCAACAATTGTATCAAAGACCCACAAATTGTTGATTACATCTGAGGTTCATCACCCACTTCGTTATCGATTTCAACCATAGTTGAAGGACTAATACACCAAAAAGATCTTCAACCAAAAGATCATTGTCAATAAGGTTACTTTATATATTATAGTAAGAACATCTTTTAAACTAACATTTGGAATGTAAATTTATTTCTTAGTATATACTTTGTGAGAAAACCATTTTAAAAAAATCTCTCCAATAAGAAATGGAGAACCGAATGCACACAATAAAAGAGGTTTTGAGTCTTATTTGGAATAGAATATAGATTCTTATGTGATTGGAGAGAATCGAATGCACTCCTAAGACTAGTATGAGCTTACATACCCATATTCATTTATTCAGCCTCTATTTGAACCACATTAAAATTCTCATTCTCATTCTTCTACTCATTTTTTACCACATATTTTTTAATAAAATAATATTTTTCATCACATCAATAACTTTTCCTTCTTTTTCAATCACACATTCTCCATCAATCTATCATTCCAAAATACATTCTTCCAAAATAATGTGATTCAAACACTCTCAAAATGAAACTTGATTCAAAACCCTTTCGAAATTGTCATTTGTTTAAACCCTAACAGCCAAGCTCTCTTCGGATCATCATTTGTTAGATCCCTAAAAACCGATCCCGGTACTAAAGCGCGCCCATATTCTTGCTTCTTTTCAGATTTTTATTTCTAGCCTCTTCCAAAAGACATCAGGAAAAAATATATAACGTTGTTTTATCCCATACTATCATAGAGAAAAAAAATTACACAACCTATTTTAAATTTTAGGAACATTAAATTATTCAGAAACCTTGTCTGATAAAATCCAAGAATACCTGGCTTTCAAGTAAGGAACAAAATAAAATATGCCACAACAAACGAGAATAATCAAATATAATTTTTTCCTCTTCAAGGGGTGAAACACGGAGAAGGAAAAGGCTGGCCAAAAACAGTGCCCCCCATAAATATAAACATCTGCTGAATGCAAATTATGTACCAGTAATTTCTCTATCCATTTTCATTCTTTTTGCACTTTGGACCTCTGGATTATTAGTGACTCTCTGCTGCGATGATGTATCATGCAGAAATGTACAGCTTACCCCATTCCTGCAACCCCTTGGACTATTGAAAAACATGCAAGGCTTCATTATCTTTGATTTTGAGTCTTTCGACTTCATAGTATTTATAGGTTCTTGAATTGTCTGACTACCAAAATGGGGCAAAATTTCTTGTCTTTCTCCTCCATGTTGCTGAATCAGACTCTTGTAATAGTTTATGTCCTTTGTTATAGGAGTTCCCATGGAGGGAGAAGGTGCGGCTGAAGAAACATCAGCTACGGACAACGGGAGACTGGGAACGGGTCCCATCATACTTGAAGGATTATAGAAAGGTCTGCTTGGTGAAGCTGTAGATGGTGAAAGAAGTTCCAGTCTGGTAATGTAAGCAGAAGGCAGATCTCCTTTATTGACGGCTGGAAGTGGATCACATAAACTCTTGGCTGCAGACCTCAAGTCGAGCATATTTGGCGGGCCAGGAGATGGCCTGTTATGCAAGCTGACTGGTGGCATACTTTGTGTACTTGATGGTGATATATTATGGGGACCAACAGCTCGTGAATTCTGCAAGCAGGACGGCAGATTCTGTGTGCTGGATGCTGCCCCATGATTGGTGACGAGTTGCTCGATCATTTTTGGGTCACTGAGAAGTTTTATCAGCAAGTTATGATCAATAAAATCCTTCTGATCGCTGCTTGACATAACCGCAGTCAAGGCAGCTTGTGCAGCCGCTACAATATCAGGCTCAACAGCCGTTGCTGAGAATCCGGGATGAGGATGGGTATTGGCATTGGCATTGCCCTGAGATGAGAAAGTTGCTGGGGCCAATAGCTGGGGCTGTGAGACTATTGGAACAGTATTTTCTGCCATGGAATCAACGGATGATGCATCTAGTGCTGCATCCTCATCTTCAATAGGAGTTATTGGAATCCGAGGGGTGTGTTGGTCATAGGGAAATGAGTTTTCCTCACCCGCTGGCACAGATGGGCTGCAAGAAGATAAAATTGTCATTATTAACAAATGAAAACATCATGAAAATTCAACGCATAGCCTAATCACTATATAAAAGGAACGAAAGAAAACGAAATGGAAACTCAGAAAAAGAGAGTAAGAATTGCACTTTGGCGGGATAGAAGAAGAACGTGGATAAATAGCTTCAAGCACTCTCATCTCCCGTTGGTCTTGAGCTTCCATTTCTTTGCCTTCTTCCCCAGCAACCACTTGCCAAGTAACATCTAGTACAAACTGCAAAATATAGGGAGAAGAATGTAGAGAACTATTGTAAGACCTGGCTTGAACCCGGATGCTATACGCTATAATTCTGTAAGGTAGATTTATTAACCCATCCTACCCCAACTTCTTTGAGGGGAAAAAAAATTCTTACCTGGGCCCCCTCTTCCTTTAAGAATTACAAAGAGAGTTGTTCAATTTGGAAGAATAAATATTCCAGACGAAGAGGAAAAAGCAGAATCTCTAATCGTGGAGGCTTTGTTTGAAATTAAAGTGAGTAAATAGGTAAAAAGGTTAAGTTTTGAGCATCTTATCCTGAAAGTGAATACCCTACTTATTCTCACTGTTTAGATAAACATGAAATAGTTTTCCGCTTTAGAAATTTTGTGAAAATGACAAATGAACTTACTCTGGGAGGGCATCTCCATTTGATAAGAGGTATTTGGGCCAACTTATTTCTCCAAAGATTTGATGTCTGGATTCCTTCAAAGCCTGGAGGCAAATTGTCATCTGATCCTGTACCGCCTGAGTGCACAGACCATAATGTCTTCGCCTGCAGATGGTCTTGAGATCCCACCAATCCAACTTGTGAAGGAGATTCGTCGGACAAAAACAACCTTACCTATTAAATGAAATGTATTAGTCCATTTAGTAATATAACCCCTATTTGGTAGAGATTTTTTAAGAATAGATTTTGTAAAAAGTGAATTTTTTTGAAGAATGTGTGGTTAAAAAATTGGAAATAGTTACAAGTCCACTTGCAAAATTAATTTATAGGGAGAATGCGTGGTTGAAAATGCCTTCGGAGAAAATTGAATTTTAGAAAATGGTGACCAAACAGGGTCATAAGCTTTATATACAAATAGGTAACTCATGTTAGTAAACCTACTAGTATTAAAGTCTATAATCAAGATATTTTTTCCCACAAACAGTGAATCATAAAATGCTTGATTGTGGATATGTATAACACTTGCACTAAGCATGTAAAGTAGCGCAGGCAAAAAATAAATGAAAGAACCTTACGGGTCAGCATATCTAAAACAAACCACTCATCAAAAAGTAAAATCGTACTGTAGAATTCATGCAGATTTGCTGATTAGTCATACAAGACATACTGAAGAAATCGGTAAACAATGGTCTCAGTCTATCCAAAATCCAACAACTAACATCTTTGAAATCAAGTAAGCACTAATATCTCCATGGAAACAAGAGAATTGACAGAATTTAAACAACATAGTAATCATATCATTCATCTTAATCTTTAATCTGTCCATGACTACATCTACTGGAAGATCCAATGCAATCAAATCCAAAGCAACCATTGGAGGAAATTCTCTATACTGCCACCTATATTTTGACTAGTTCCAAGCTCGAATAAAAGAGTGTCCTTGTCTCTTGAAAGCCAACTTAAAACATTGCCACACCTTAAGACATGAATCCTTATATTCATCCCAGTGAGTTAAGGAAAAGAAGATAAATCCCCCATGCACAACAAAATAAAAAAATTTGCAATAAATAGAAAAAAATAGACACGCTAATGAACTTTAGCATCTTCAAAACCATACATCATAATAACCTATTCATGCAACTCTTTAATCCTACTAGTCAATGGTATAGTCGAGAAACTAAAAGGACTCTTGAAAAGTTTCTCATGATGCAATAAAGTTCTATAAACTATAGATTCTGTAATTAAAATTAAAGAGAGAAAAGAAATGAGCTTTTCTTGGTTCTTAAAAGCAGTCTATGTCCTTGTATCTCAAATTTTCAAAGTACCCATCCAAAATTACTTGATGATCAACTTATTTCTATCTCTACTAATCATTGGTGTAACTTGAATTTGATCTATTCATGCAATTAATGTCACTAGTCAAAGTTGAATGTGCATTGCACGTTAAGCACTGTAAAAGTAATATTTGATACTAATTTATTGGAAGGATTTGATAAGTTTCAAATGAATTTAAAAAAAAATTAGGATAGAATTTTAAGAGAAGAAAATTGTACTCTCAAAACTCAAATTTTATGATTCAATTTTTTTTTTTGTGATGATAGAATACTACAAATGAGCAACCCTTTTATACTACATTTGGTACATAAGAATTAATTGCTAATATATGAATTTAAACACCCATTAAAATTTCTAGATACATGAATAGAAATAAATTTATCTATAAAACCTCTAGATTCATGTAGATTAAGATTCATCAAGCTAAGATTCATTGAATTTAGCTTAATGTAAATGTTAATTAATTAAAAATTAATAACACGAAATTCATACACAATAAGAATTTTGCAGTATTTATTATATATTAAGAACGAAAAGTAAAGTATTATTCAAATAATTGAATTGTAGTAGAGTTAAAATCGTCCAAAAAATGATTCTCACTTGATGTGATATTTAATATATTATAGATGTATAAGAATATGGTATAAAACTCCTCATCCCCACCTCCAATTTGAATTTATTAACAATTGAAATACATTCAGTCATGTTCCTGACCATTTTAAAAAGGCTAAGTGAACTGCTCTGAACTTCCATAAATGACACTCATTATTTGCTTATCTTTAAGGTTTTTCCTGTTAAGTAAACCTATATGTAAGTGATGATTACTTCATCAAGCAGTTTTTTAGTCAGCATTACAAATGTGTCAAAGCAACAGCGCGACCCTTTCAATTTCATAGTCCATGGAAAATAAACAATTTTTCTTTAATTTCATAATGCAAAACAAAATTGTAGATACATTTCATCTTCCAGTTAAAGTTGGAAAAAAGTATTTAAACTAACTGTCATTAATTATCCTCACATAAAATTTGATATTTTCCATATATTAGATGTTACTACTGAAACAGAAACTATAAAAGACCAAGAAGAATTAAGAATTTTTAAAAGATTTACCCAACAAAAACTAACATCGAAAGCCCAAGTAATCCTTGATTTCTGAAATACTCCCATATTTAAAAGTAAAAGTTATTCAGTTTGATTCTCAATTGTATGAATATAACTTAATATTCAATCGCTTTTAGCAATCGAAGTCGCCAACTCCCTATAAAGGAAACATTTATCCAACCCCAATCTATTTCCTATTTTAATCAGTCAGTTAACACATCCTTATTATGCATACAATAAAGTGTATAGACAGAGAGATAAAGGAGAGAAATCCAAGGAAAATCCTGGATAGAAACCCTGGATCCTTCGTGCCTTGGCATTTTTCCTCTTCATTATCTAGAGAATTTCTTATTTTTGACTGCCTTTTCTATAGCAGTATTTTCAATAACGCTCATACATTTTCACTGAGGGCTGTTCTGAAAAGCCAAGTGGTTTATATTACTTTGCATACATTGGTCTCGTTTTCTATTTGCATTCCTTAATTGTGTTCAAAAGTCACTAATCAATAAAAATTTCAATATTATATTCTTCTAAAATAGAAACAAAATTATGTTTTCATCATGGAATGTATTAGTCCATTACTTAGTAATACAACCAATGTAAGTTAATCTACAGTACAGACATTACTCTATAACCACGGTAACAATAGTAATATGCTAGATTGTGGATATGTATTCCATAGTTGTCAAACAATAAGAAGAAATATATGAAATTACTAGGGATATCACACTATCAAATAAATAGCACTCTTACAATAAGCATGTAAAGCAACACGGAAAAAACTAACTTAAAGAACTTTAAATCTGCCAGCATATCTAAAACAAACCATTAAAAAAAATTAATAACTTAAGAGATATTTTTACTGTTTTTTGCACATAAGCGGGTTCAAGTACACCTATCTAGTATACTTACAACCTACTTGAAAAACTCAGACAGATTCACTGATTAGCCTTATAAACATATCATTACAATCAGTTACCAATGGCCTCTTTGAGAGTAAGCAATAATCTCACCACGGGAGCAAGATAATAAACATAAACAAAGGATGAAGCATATAAACAGCGTAGAAACCATCTCAATCTAAAAAGTATAAACCTAATTCTGAATAAATACAGGGATGGCTATGTTAATCATTTTTCTCCACTCTGTTTTATTCATGGCTACATGTTCCTGAAGATCCGGTGGAATAAAATCCTTCGGAACCATAACATATCATGTTTATTTTGTTCTACTTTCCTGTTACTGAGATCCAATGCAATCAAATCCTTCGAAACCACAACTGGAAATTCTATCACACTACCACCTACATTTTGACAACTAGTTCCAAGCCCGAATAAAGAAGAGTTGTTGCTGGTTGAAAGCCAACTTTAAACTTATTACATGAGTCCTACTATCATCCGAATCCTCAAGTAGAAAATATAAACAGGAAAATAAATATCAGGGTACAAAAAAAAAATTGCAATAAATAGAAATAACTGACACTCAAAAAGAATTTTAGTATCTTTAAGACCAGAGACCATGTAAACCTATTCTCGTAACTCTTTGATCCTGCAAGTCAATGGTATTGTCTGAACATAGTCAAACAAAAGAATTCTTTTCTTCTTCTTACATCTGCACAGCCCTCTGTTTATGTTCCATTTTATAGTGTAATCTTGAATTGAAGAGAAGCCACGAACTGTATGAAATCCCTATGAAGTTTATTCTCAATACACCAGCATAAATCAGGAATTATCACAAACCTAATGACTAAATCATCAGCTAAATTGACACATTGTATTGCAATTAATGCTGTAATTCTGCTAAATCAAGTATTTCTCACGCTTCAACTAAGGATTGTTATTATACATCTGCATAAAGTTCTATAAAATTAGAGATGCAGCGAGAATAAAATGAAAAAAAATGTCTTGGTATTTGAAAATAGTCCATTTGTTTGTATGTCAAACTGCAGAAGTACCAGTCCAAAATAATTCGACTATTCGAGGATCAACTGAGTTTTGTCTGTGTTGCTCATTAGTCTAATTCGAATTTGATTTACTTGTGCAATTAATATTCAGTATTTCAATTGATAACTAAATGAACCGATCTAAACTTCCAAAATAGAAAATGTAATCATCATTCATTTATCTTTCTGGCTTTTTTCCAGTCAGCAAACTTACATGTAAAGGATGATTACTTCATCGATCAATTTTCAAGTCAGTGTTACAAATGTGTCAAGCAACAGAAATGCCCTTTCAATTTCATTCCGTCAGAAAAAAAACAATTTCCCATTGTAATTTCATCTTCGAGTTAAAAGCTTAAAAAATGTAATTTAACTGGCCGCCACTAAATTGTTTCCTCTAAATTTTTTACACTTTTCAAACATTAGAAAACTAATACTGAAAATCGACAGAAACCATTGAAGACTAAGGAGATATAAGAATTTTTACAAGATTTACCTGACAAAGATTAACATCGGAAGCCCAAGTAATCCTTTTTGATTTCTGCGATCCTCCCATATTTATATATACAAGTTATTTGATTCGATTCTCAAATGTATTATTACAACAAAACTTCAATAGCTTTTCGCAATCGAATACAGAAACCCCTAAAAACCCTAATGAATTTTCAGTTTTAATTGATCGGTCTATACATCCAGATTATGCATATAGTAGAGTGTATGGACATAGAGAGAGAAAATAGAGATAAGAGAACCCCTTGAAAGAAACCCTAGATCTTCTGAACCTTTGCATTTTACCTCTTCATTTTTCTTTTTCTACATTTTCTTATTTCTCGCTGCCTTAAATATAGATACACGTGGCGCTTTGTGCACCCTCGCCACGGTCCCTACTTCCCTTCTTAACTAGGGGTGAGAAAGGGGCCCAAGCCCACTCGTGAGAGCTCAGCTTGTTCCACTATGAATTTGTGAGTTGGTCATTAGCTAGACAAGTAAAGTTACTGGACATCACGAGCCAGAAATTTTTTTTTTGTTTAATTACGTAACAAAATTGGTCTCTTATTCCTAATTTAACTTTTTTCATATTTTTTCATTTTTCTTTGAAAAATCAAAAGGCTCCAGGGATGGCTAACCAACAAGCCAGCTCAGCTCAGCTCAACAAGTCAAGGGTACGACCAACAAGTTGAGCCAAGACAAGTTGGATGGATGGCCCAAAGACTAGATCAGCTCGACTCATTACCATTCCTTTTAACTCTATTTTTGAGTTTTATATTTATGATATTTAATTTTATTTTGTAATTACATAAAAAGAATAATTCCGTGTAATTGTTCTTATTTCATGCAATTGTTACCTCCAAATGTCACGAAAAAATCCCGCACTTCAAATGTGTCCTCGGGCCAAAAATAAAAATAGCAATCGTTGTTCACATGTCAAATTAGACTATAGATTCATTCAACGAACGAACTATAAACTCTATACAGAAAATAAAACTGTACAATAATATTTAGATGTGGCAATTATATTTTTATGTGAGTTGAACTTTTGTTAATTTGAGTTTGATTGGAAAAATAAGTTAATTTTTTTTAGTATTGGTTTTAGGTGTGAAAGTTATTCGATCCCTTAAGGCAGCTCGAACTTAGTTTTATCTAAAAAGTTTTTCTCTCTTATCAGAGTACGAAAAAAATTATAATTATTAAAAAAAATGATAAAACCTAGTTCATAGATAATAACGATATAAAAAGATATTAGCTATTGAAATTTGAATCATCCATGAGCAAAGTTCCTTCCCTTATAACGCCTATAACTTTCTAAAAAATATACTAATCTCTTTACAAATTAAATAATATAATGTTGTAATTTGGATTTGGCTTTGAATTGGTATCTAAAAAAATAAATTATTCAATTATTAATTTAAATCTAAAGTGGGAAACAAATTATAATTGCCAATCTAATATGTATAAATCAAGCTATGCAAAAAAAAAAAAAAAAAAAATTAACGTGGTGTTCTTAATTGAGATTTTGATGAGTTTTAAAGGACTATAAATTATAATTTTTTGCAAATTTGAATAGATTTCTACATAATTTCGTTAAAAAAAATGTAAAATTTCAAAAGATTTTGTTATGTGTATTTTTAAACTTGAAATTCATTTATTGGTGAAACCTTTATAAATCCACGAGTTATTGAGGATTTCTAAATTTCAAATCATTTCATTGAAATTAATTAAAATCTCAGTTGAAGACACTTCTCAATGGGGTACGCCTAAATTTAGAAAGATTTTTAAAATTCACTCAAACATCAATTGAGAAAAACACCCG